AATGACCTGACCTCATAAGACCTTTAGGAAAAAAATCCGAGATATACAAGTTGTGAGACTCATAATGGATACTAGATCCTGCAAGTTTCATTTCCCTGTGACATCTCCTCTGGCAGTGAGGGCGTTGCGAAGTTGCGACATCTGAAGACCGTGCAGAGGTTCACTTATGACGTCATAGGTCAGTGACCTGACATGACCCAAAAAGGCGGTTGGTGTCAAAAGATGCGGCTTGGATTAAAGGCCAGGTATGCCAAGTTTCAGCTCTCTATCGCCAGCGTGTTCGGAGCTATCGCGAAAAAAAAACCCTATGGGGGGGGCGGCACCCGCCCCCCCCCTCGGCCGGCGAGGTTTAACCTTCCAGGCGGTGGGGGGCATTTTTGCCCCCCTTTAGTTTTTCTATATATCTCGAGAACCGCTGCGCCGATCGTCATAAAACTTTCAGTACCCTCCCGTGAATAGCTACTGCACATTGTAACCAATTTTTTTTTTCCAAAGGCCATGATAGGTTGGACGCTAATGACGTTAGAGTAATGTCATTTCTGCCATTTTCGACAAAAAAAAGGTTTCGCGAGAAGAGCTGTCAGGCCTGCAGCTTTAGAGATACAGAAGAATGTTACATAGATAAAAGGTGTAGAATTTAGGAGGCTGCAAAACTGCTATATCAAATTTTTGAAATTTTTGGATTTTGTTCCCCAAAAATCAAAAAATATATAATAGCCGAAAAATCCAAAAAGTTTTTTGAATTTCGAAATAATCGGAATACATGTGACAGTCCCTACCGCTTTCTATCTACATACTAAATTTGAGATCGATACCTCTTTTTTTGGCCAAGTTATAGCAAAAAACTGTTCAAAATTGATGACGTCACATTTTCAAACCCAATTTTTAGCAATTCTCAACCTCGTAGCGCAAAACAAAGACCACCATTAGACTCCCCGTGACGAGCGTTATCGAATCGATACCCATTTTATCTAAAAATATCAACTTTGAAATTTGACCTGTTTTGACCTGACCTTGACCTGACCTCCACCAGAAAGTGACCTAAACCGTACCTAATGGTCTTATAACCAACACCATTGAGTTGGAAATGAAAAACTGGCCATAAAACATACATCGCACAACCTTAGTAAAGTTGGGTTCATGTGGTAACCCTTGGTGACGCTTGGTGACCTGACCTGTGACCTGACCTGGTATAACCAGTGACCTCTTATAGCACATATGTATACAGCCCTCAGCAGACTGCGTGGTAGGCATTCTTTTTTCGACAAAACCGGTAATAACTCAAAAACTATGTGATCTGTCGGTCGGAATTCATTGCAAATATAGGCACCATGCTCCACTCTTTCGATTGGGTCTATCACTAAACAAAGTATACTAATTCGTGCTACACAATACGCATGACAGTTATATTTGGACGCCTCTGTTGTATGAAGCGTCACTTATAGGCCACTCATAACACGATATTGAGTGACAGCGCAGAGTTTTGGGAGTTCAGTTTTGGTCTATGTTTGTGGATGTAGAGAGACTCTAATAGCCTAAGGTCAAGCTCCAGGTAACTCCTCTGCAGAATTGTAAAATCGTTAATTGAGAAGGCGGTGCCGCACTCATCAGAGTGGTCTTTAACTGAAGAGGGCTTTGGGCTAAATACCATTAAGCCAGTGCGGTCAGAAATCCCCATGTGCTGGCACACTCTAGTAGTGAGGCGTACATGAGTGGACCCAATGTACGACTCCCCACACGAGGAGCAACAAAACTGGTATACAACACCAGAGCGGCAAACTTTGGGAACCCTGTCTTTGAAGTGGAAGATAGAACCGATGGTGAAGGTGTTTCTTAGAATCACCTTGGGGTCAAGATAGGGATAGAAGGACGTCAGTAAAGTTATGAGGTCTTTTCGCAGGCTAAGGGATTGTGCACCAAAGTAAGGTAGTACTAGGTACTTCTCCAGCTTGGGCACGATGACTTCGCTCGATATTGCTGCATATTGTCTGTCAGGGAACTTTCTAACATGAAAATCAAACATCTTTGTTGGAAAGCCATTGTTTTGAAAGAACTTTCGTAGGAATTTGAGTTCGCTGTCAAACGGTTTAAAATCAGAGCAGAGCCGGAATGCCCTGAAAATGGCAGATTGCATGACAGCCTTCTTAACAGTCTGAGGGATGAAAGTAAAAAAACTCAAACCCAGACCCGTAAAGGAGGGTTTCCTATAAACTGATGTAACCAGTCGTTCTCCCGCTTTTTGGACTTGCACATCTAAAAAAGGAAGGGATCCGTTTTTTTCTACCTCTTTTGTAAACCGTATCTTTGGGTGACGGCCATTCAAGAAATCCAGAAACTTGTGTACTTTGGACTGGTCGTCAAAAATAGGAAACAGTCATCTACATACCTCCGGAAATACTTTGGGCGAAACTCATTTGGGCAGTCATTGAGCCAGTTCACCTCATGGAAACAAAGAAAAATATTTGCAAAGGTAGGGCCGAGATTAGAAGAGTCAGACATTTCGTTTTTCTCACAGTCAATGACAATCCAAAAACAATGTAATAAGACCAGACGTTTCGACAACAAAGTGCCTTCGTCAGTGGAAAAACAAGATATAGGCTTTACATCGATAAAAAATATAGAAGACGACCAGCCTGCACGAAATACTGTTCTACTTTTTTGAAATACAGGTTATATCTAATCTCGCACTAAAATGTTGTATCGTTCTTCTGTCTAAACTATTCTGTAAGTCATAATCACAGCATTGACACATTGACACATTATAACAGAGACACTCCTATAGATATAGCTATTTGTTTTTTAGCACCATTTTCGCACCTATCCTGGACCAGCTGTAGAAGCCTGGTTTTATGTTAACAGTGTCTTCAAGTAAAATATATGCAGCTTCCATGGCTCTCCTAATCGGTTTTGGCATGCCCTTTTCCATCACTGTAGCTGAATCCCAAGCTGGAAGATGATGACACTTTTCTATATGAAGCACCATCGCATTGGATACATTATGATTTCGAACATCACGTTTGTGCTCTTGAAGTCGTGTTTTCAAACCCCTCCCCGTTTCACCGACATATGATTTTGAACATGGTCCAGAACAAGGTATCTTATATATAACACTGTTGTCTGATGTGTTCACCTTCTTCGGTCGCACTAAATCTTGAATCTTGGATCCTGAAACGATGGCTACATTGGTTCCAGCTGATCGTAGACTAGTCGCTATTTCGTTCGCTTGTTTCGAGATGGGAATCGTTATGAATCGTCCTCGTTTCTTTTGTTCTTGTTTTTGTTTCTTCTTTTCTTCTACACTCTTCCTCCTTATTTCCTTCGCCTTGTTTTGGAGCCGAATTAAGTAACCTTTTGGATAATGAAGTCTTGTAAACGTTTCGTATATATGGGCGATCTCTTCGTCGAGGAATTCTTCGCTACAAATCCTGAATGCTCGGAGAAAGAAGCCGATGACTATGCCACTTTTTACGCGATCGCTGTGTCCTGAAAGGAAGTGGACGTAGTCTTCTTTATTTGTAGGCTTTCTGTATACCTTAAATTTTGCTGTACTTCCGCACCTAATAACCAGTGTGTCCAGGAAAGGAATCGTTCCGCTGTTTTCGGTTTCAATTGTGAATTGGATTTTCGGATCGACGGCATTCAGGGCAATAACCTTCTCTTTCAGGTTCATATCGTGTGGAACTATTACGAGCACGTCGTCAACGTAACGAATCCAAGTGCACTCAGGGCCCATGATATGTTTGTACTTTTCTTCCTCCAGGTTTTCCATGTACAAGCAAGCCGCTAAATTTTGCTGTACCTACTGTGCGGAAGTACAGCAAAATTTAAGGTATACAGAAAGCCTACAAATAAAGAAGACTACGTCCACTTCCTTTCAGGACACAGCGATCGCGTAAAAAGTGGCATAGTCATCGGCTTCTTTCTCCGAGCATTCAGGATTTGTAGCGAAGAATTCCTCGACGAAGAGATCGCCCATATATACGAAACGTTTACAAGACTTCATTATCCAAAAGGTTACTTAATTCGGCTCCAAAACAAGGCGAAGGAAATAAGGAGGAAGAGTGTAGAAGAAAAGAAGAAACAAAAACAAGAACAAAAGAAACGAGGACGATTCATAACGATTCCCATCTCGAAACAAGCGAACGAAATAGCGACTAGTCTACGATCAGCTGGAACCAATGTAGCCATCGTTTCAGGATCCAAGATTCAAGATTTAGTGCGACCGAAGAAGGTGAACACATCAGACAACAGTGTTATATATAAGATACCTTGTTCTGGACCATGTTCAAAATCATATGTCGGTGAAACGGGGAGGGGTTTGAAAACACGACTTCAAGAGCACAAACGTGATGTTCGAAATCATAATGTATCCAATGCGATGGTGCTTCATATAGAAAAGTGTCATCATCTTCCAGCTTGGGATTCAGCTACAGTGATGGAAAAGGGCATGCCAAAACCGATTAGGAGAGCCATGGAAGCTGCATATATTTTACTTGAAGACACTGTTAACATAAAACCAGGCTTCTACAGCTGGTCCAGGATAGGTGCGAAAATGGTGCTAAAAAACAAATAGCTATATCTATAGGAGTGTCTCTGTTATAATGTGTCAATGTGTCAATGCTGTGATTATGACTTACAGAATAGTTTAGACAGAAGAACGATACAACATTTTAGTGCGAGATTAGATATAACCTGTATTTCAAAAAAGTAGAACAGTATTTCGTGCAGGCTGGTCGTCTTCTATATTTTTTATCGATGTAAAGCCCAAGGCCGTATATTAGAAGGTAAAATCGTCAGGCGGTTTGTTTACATTTGCTCAGCTGACGAAATGACGTCAAAGGTCGTCCACCCTCACGGATCAGGCAGCCGCATGCAGTACAATATGCGGACGTTTTTGGGAATTGAGACGACTTTAGCGATATTGAACGATTAAATTACGTTATACCAGCTTCTACAAACCTGCAAACCGGTTTATGCTCATGTGGTGCCACAAAAACCAGTGTGGAAGGAGTTTATATTGATGCATTATCGGCTGGAAAAACACCATAACTTCGACCGTAGCCGACTGAGCCAACATTGACCTATGCTTGGTTATGGGTCAGCATAGTTGCCAGAATGTCATAATTTACGCGGATTCAAACAACAACTAAAGCATTAGACGTACGATTACGAGGTTTTGCTCACAACAGTTAGGTATACCGAGCAGAGCATATACCCGGCCGGGGCACCAGCGCCGAAACTGAAGCGTGAACGGTGGCCTGCGACAGGAACGCATATGGCTGCCAGTGATACGGTATGTGGTGGCGCATCGGATGCAGCCCTGCCACTTTCGGTCCAGAACTGGCTGCCATTCGTTGGTCCCAGTCCAGCTGCCTCAATCGGTCCCGGTTTAGACGCCTTTGCCGGCCCCGGTTCAGACGTCTCAGTCTTTCCCGGTCCGGAAGTCTCAACTCAAACTTTATTGAACAATCTTATCAACATTATCTTGGTAGAAAACACAAAACAGTAAGACAGAACAAACGAGCAAACTCAAGCAGCACTTCAAAATGACGATAGGTACACACAAACATCAGCGTGTTTCAGCAGCATCCACGCGTCGCTCCGCGCTGTCTCACAGCACCCCACGGGGTCAAACCACTACGTGGGTTCGTAACACGCTGGCCACAAAACATGGGTTACCAGCGACCAACACAAAACTCTGAAAGCAGGGGTCCATCCAACCTAATTTACAAACACAGCAGCCCCGTCAATGGCCATTAGCGCCAACCCCGCCGGCGGCAGCAGGAGCGACAGGCAGGGACAGCGCATGCAACTCGATCGCAAAACCATTCTTCTGGCATTGCTTTGCGTCTATAAAGGAGAATATCCCGCCCTCATCTACCCTTCAGGACCTGGCCGGGGACACTAACGAGACGCGGACATTACCCACTCAGCTGAGCAGTGAGCACCCTTTCGACCGGTCCGGGGCCCAGCTCTCGCCACATGACCGAAGGCTACTGTTAGGGTGCTGTCCTGTCCTGCTGTTCTTTTGCTGTCCTCCATCAGTCGGCTCCGAACCACCAGCCTCGCTGCCCCGCCGGGGTCCGGAGAAGAAGCTGCGCTGAGACGATCTGGAACCATCAGCCGGGCTGTGAGTCCCCACCGCCATGCGGTTGCTGGGACCGGGGCGGTGCAACCACACTCGCGTCCTGACTGCGCTTATGTGCTTCTCTCCTCGGAGCAGAGTCCGGCAGCGCAACCTGACTGACCTGAGCACGCCCCGCGCGAGAAGGCGTCTGGCGTGGCGCGCCGGCCTCGACCATCTATCACACCGCCTCGGGATTCATGATCCAGATCCGATCGAATCGTCAGATTAAAATGTCTCTTGTATGGTAAACACAGATAAAAATCCCTCCTTCTTGAGTCGCAGAAGGCCAGGGAGGCTTGACAGTCTACGGAGGTCGCCGACTGAGAAACGCTCCAGCAGCCGTAGTTGGTCAGCTGCTCAGCAACACTCTCCGCCAGCAAGACTGAAAACAAAAACCTTCCATGAAATGCAAATTAAGGATGGCTGAAGGATGCATAACACCCAGTAAAACGAATAACTATTCAGTTAACAAAAAATGTCACTTCCTTGCTTGGAAAATTGTATTTTAGTCACTAAATGCCATGGCAAAGGAGCTGCCTAAATCGATGAATGTCAGCAACTCGCCAAACAACCTGTGTAAAACAGTTTGTTATTGTATGTGACTCGGTAGACACAACCTTTTGACCTTAGCCTGCACTAAATATGATAGCAAATTAGGCATGCTCCATTGTCATTTTCCCCTTTGAATTAGGTAATTGTTTTTGGGAGCTGCCACAACTGCACAGATAGGCACATTAACATTGCTCACACACACAGATTCACTTACTTGTAAGTTGCTGGGTGATGTGTTGTGCCTTGGTCACCAGTCACAGAATAACTGAAGCCTCCTGGAAAAGCGCTGTAGCTGTTGGCGACTGGCGTCACCACAGCTGGTCGGTGGGGCACTGTAAACAAGATGTGACTTTAAACGCTGCTCCAGGTACTTTGGTCATGATCTGTCATAACATAGTTAACATTTCTTCTAATCAAACTAGGGCCTAGGGGAGTTGGAGTGATACTCCTCCATCATACCAATGCGCTAACAAGGATTGAAGAAAACACATGAGCCCTAAAACCAATCAAAAAACGAACACAAAACATACCTACCTACTCATTCATAATCATTATTTTTTAATTTGACAGGAATCCTGTTCACCTGAAAATATTCAGCAAACCACTCACCAATTGCCTGACACCATAGTGCACACAGAAGTTTGAGGCCTGTGTAGGCTGTGCAATATTATATGTGTAGATCAAGATGAAGTACAGTGAGACGTGAGTCAGTACCTTTTAAGTTGTAGGTTGGTAGATTGTAGGCTTTAAATTGTAGGTTTTCGGTTAGTAGGTTGTAAGTTTGTAGATTGTAGGTTGACAGGTTAAAAGTTTTTGGATAGTAGGTAAGGTTAGGTCAGGTTAGATTTTTTATCTTCACTGTACTTCATCTTCACATTTACCGGCTGTGCGGACTGCAGGCCTGTTTGTGTTGGACCGGATCTTTGTAATGCAAAGCACTCGCTCATTCTAAAAGTACTGGTTGTCAAAGACAGAAGAGAAGCGGATGGCTCCCCGTGGATGTCCAGATACTTATCAATTATGGCAGCTTACATGAGTTACAGAAGCAATTGCAGCTTCCTTTGTCCGTCTAGGCTTTAGACAATTGACCACACTTAAAACAATCAAACATGCAATTTTGTTTGGTATTGGAATACATACCAATATTTCTACATTTACAAAAGTATATGATAATTCTTATTAACTACTTGCTGGTAATAATCAGAAAAAAACCTCGAAAATGCCAGACAGAAAAGAATCAAATAACAACTAACAATTGATATCAATTGAAATACACAAATTTGCAAGCAGAAGACTGTAACACGCGCGCAATAAATGTAGAAAATAGTTAAATTTCTGCTTCAATTCCTTAAACCACTGTCATAAATCGTAATTCCCAACTAATTCACTGCTACGCTAGAACTCAAAGACTACAAGTTTTTAGGTATTGTAACCTTTACAACATGTAGAAAATGTCTTATTCAACCATTTGAGACCAAAAACGTTCCACTTCATCCCGTTTTAGTTGAGAAAACAGCAAAGAAAGTGGACGACCTTTGACGTCATTTACCTTCTGATTGGCCCAAAAAGCCTTCCCTATGGCGCAACATAGAAACGATGACCCCCTGGTAAAGCCTATATCTTGTTTTTCCACTGACGAAGGCACTTTGTTGTCGAAACGTCTGGTCTTATTACATTGTTTTTGGATTGTCATTGACTGTGAGAAAAACGTAGGGCCGAGAGGGAGACCGTGACGCTTCATACAACAGAGGCGTCCAAATATAGTTCTGTCATGCGTATTGTGTAGCATGAATTAGTGTACTTGTTTCTTGTATTAGTGTCTCGATAAACAAAGTATATGCTTCGTGTGGTTACAAAATGCAACAGTTTGTTTTGGGGGCAAAAATAAACTTTTGGGTTTTGTTGCCAAACTGGATGGAAAATGAATACGATGGTAATGCCCATCTATGTAAGGTGCGGAGTCTGGCGCGTCTTGCTGTTACGATTTCCGAGTGACCGAAAGCATAGTATCCGCGATATTCTCGGTTTTGTCGAAAAAGAATACCTACCACGCAGTTTGCAGAGGGCTGTACTAGACAACTGACGCCCTATCGCTGATTTTCGACAAAGTGCGTTTTACTCGGTATTATAAGGCTTTCCCTAGAAGCCCCGTGAACGGTGAAACATTTTATCTTTGACCTGACCTGTGACGTCATCGGTGACCCCGAGGTCAATGAAATTGGGTTTCTCACAAATTTGACAGGGCTATCGAACGCCGTTTGAATTTTCTGGATCCGTCCAGTAGTTTCGGAGATACGGGGGGGGCAAAAAAATGCCCCCCCCCCCACCGCGCGGAAGGTGGCCGGGAGGCCCACCGCCTGCCGGGTTAAGGTCTCAGGTCAACCAGTGACCGCTGTGGTCAGGTCAAGTGACCCAAAGCACAGGTTCAAGTCTTTAATAATAACTTCGCAACAAATGGTCGCAGGGCCGCGATTTGGGCATCATCGTGTTGGTCTTGCTCAGGCACGTCGAAGGGTAAACTTTTTGTTTGGTTGCTGTCACGTTCAGATGTTGAACTCGGATGACTGATGAGGTCAGGTGACAGGTCAGCGCCTCCCAGGTCACGAAGCTAGTCACGGGAGGTTATGTCGCATATCATTTGATTCGGCAGGTCTTCCTGAGTCCATTGGTGGCTTTTCCGACTCGCTAGCTCGATTTGACCGGAATTTATTGACGAAAAACTTATGACCCAAGTGATGTCATAAATGACGTCACGCAAGGTCAACAATGCAAAAATGAAGCATTGGACCTTACAATGAGTGCAAGAAATCACGAATCTGAGTACTTGAGATAGTCTGAGATCGTTCCCGGCGCTAAAATAGCAGTTCTCGATTTTCCCCTTTGACTTAAAATGGTGAGGTCACATGACAGACCTGACCTCATGTAACCTTAACCCTATTCCTGGCGGGGGCCTCAGGAGCCCCCCTGAGGTTTTTTGGTTATTTCTCCCAAACGCGTTGAGCTAGGAAGCTCAAATTTTCTGACTTTTCCTAAAAGGCTTCTACGCAACATGTCTGAAAATTTTGAGTTGATCTGATCTCAGGTCAGGTCACCAGAGGCGGTTTGGTGACCCTACCTCAGAAAAGTTTGCAATCACGCCAGAGCTAGAGTTTTTGACCGATCAATTTCTTCTCTTCAGGCTTTAGTTAGGGTACCAGTATGTGCAATTTGTATATCTCGGAATTTTGATATCGGTGACCTAAGGTCAGGTCAGTGTCGCGACCTCCCCATTATAAGTCAATGGGGGAAAAATCAACTCCCTGTTTTTACCACTAAAACGGGTCGGAATGGCCCCATATACCATACATGACTTCATATACGATCAACCTTCACTACCTTGAGGTCTGTTTTGCTGTTGGGCAGCTGTGAGGTCATGTGACGTCATCAAAGGTCACCAAAGGTTTTTGGCCAATAACTCCGTACAGGAACAAGATACAGACGCGTGGATGGTCTCATTGTGTTCAGCTCGTCAAGACGCATCGAATGATATACATGATGACCTCGATGTCACGTGACCTGAGGTCAGCCTTTGACCTTGACCCTTCGAGGTCAACATATATATCATTCGATGCGGATTGACGAGAGGATCACGACGATGCCCTTAGTTTGTTCCTATCTTGACTAACTCGAAAGTTATTCGAGAAAAACTCTCTCCACATCTAACGCCGCCATTTTGAGTTTTTCGACCCCTGTGACGTCACCTTTGACCTGACCTGAAAATGACCTTAGTAAAAATTGTAGATCTTGACCGTGCGTATCCGATGCCGTTTTTCGTTTGTTCTGCGATGTGTAGTTTTTGATATCTGAAGGGGGGCCGAATCGGCCCCCCGCTAGTTTCTTGTCCCGGCGGAGCCCGCCAGGAATAGGGTTAACCCGCGCCCTGATGGGGTCTGCCGAGCAACGCGGTCTGATGACGGGGAGCCATTTTGCCCCTCCCCCCAAGATTTCGAGAACCACGCAACATAGCGACAAGCGGCAAATGGCGTTGGATGGCCCCAACGGGGAACTACCTTGTGACTCATTTTAATTGACCTCGGTCTAACCAATGACGTCACAGGTCAGGTCAAAGGTCCAATTTTCACCGTTTACAGTTGGAAATTTGGAAAATCTGAGACAGTAGTTTTGTAGCGCCGTCTTTTCTCTACACAACCACATAAAGAACTTAAAAAATATTTAACTGTAGGTTTAGTGAGCGTTTCAAGGTGTCATGTTTTTTGCCCATTTTTACTCGAACATGACCTCAGTTTGACCTCAATAACTCCTGACCCAAGGTGACCTGTGGCTGGAAATTTTGTGTGAAGGTGTCAAATTGATGCCAGGGAAGGTAGTAGGTACCCAGAATTTGGCGTTTTCTCGCTATTCAAGAAAAACCATAGGGGGAGGGCAAAATGACCCCCATTAGGGCGCGGGCTAAGAAAAAATATGAGATATACAAGTTGTGATACCTCTGGAGGATACCACATCCTGTAAGTTTCATCTCCTTGTATAAGTTCCTCTGGCACTGATGACGTTGCGAGTTCGCGACATTTGAGGACCGTGCAGAGGTTTACTTATGACGTCATATGTCAGTTACCTGACATGACCTGAAAATTCGGTTGGTGTCACGAAATGCGGCTTGGATCAATGGTCAGGTATGCAAAGTTTCATCCTTCTATCGCCGGCGTGTTCGGAGCTAATGCGAAAAAACTATGGAGGGGGGCCCCTCCCTCGTCGGCCGGCGAGAAAGGGAGAGTAGTAATTCAAGGGCTAATCCAGGGGGAGGAAAGGGGCCATGTCAGTCCCAGGCCCGTTTATTCCCCCTCCCCACAAAAGACCCGGGTTCTAGCACTGCGCCTATGGCGGTGCATGGAAAGAAAGGCGTAATTTCGGCCATTTGTCCCCCCCCCCCCAAAAAAAAAAGAAAGGCCAAAATCACACCATACAACAAATCATTAAAACTGACATATTTTTGGAAAATGAAAGACAAAAACAGAAGTATAGCTTAGCCACATTACCTTATTGTGTTGTCTCTGTTCCAGAATGATATCCCGGGTCTCTCCTATAGCTTTGCCACATTACCTTATTGTGTTGTCTCTGTTCCAGAATGATATCCCGGGTCTCCCCTATCCCGCGCCCCGTAGGGCTACCGGCGGACCCTACCACCCGTAGGGGGGGGCCGTTTCGGCCCCCCCTAAGATCTCGGAAAGTTACCGGCCGATTTTCAAAATTCAAACGGCGTTTGATAGCCCTACCCGGGAACTACCTTGTGACCAAATTTCATTGACCTAGGTCAAACCGATGACGTCACAGGTCAGGTCAAAGGTCAGATTTTCACCGTTCACAGGCAATTCAAGAAATGTGCTGTGAAATCGAGTAAATTGGTAATTTATTGAAAACCATCGATGGTATATTGTTCGTCAAACACATACTTTGCTATCTGAGGTCACTGATACCAGGTCAGGTCACAGCGAGGTCAGGTCACCGGGGGTCACAATATGAATGTGTCGTGTGATACATGTTTTATGGTCCATTTTACATGACAAATGCGATTATGTGGGTTAGGCAGCCTTTGGGGCCAGCCTAGGTCACGTTTTGGTGAAGGTCAGGTCAAGGTCAGGTCAAATTAGGTCAAATTTCAAAGTTGATATTTTTGCATAAAATGGGTATCCATTCGATGCAGCTCGTCACGGGGAGTCTAATGGTGGTCTTTGTTTTGCTCTATGAGTTCTAGTATTGCCAAAAATTGAGTTTGAAAATTTGACGTCATCATTTTTGAACAGTTTTTTCGCTATAACTTGGCCAAAAAACGAGGTATCGATCTGAAATTTGGTATGTAGATAGAAGACGGTAGGTACTATCACATATATTCCGGTTTTTTTCGAAACTCAAAAAACTTTTTGGAGTTTTTGGCTAATATATCCAAAAAAATGCTTTTTTGATTTTTGGGGATCAAAACTCAAAAATTTCAAAAATCCGAGATAGCAGTTTTGTAGCCCTGTCAATTCTACACCTTTTATGTCTTGATCATTTTCTGTATCTTCAAAGCTGTAGGCCTGACAGGTCTTCTCGCGAAGGTCTTTTTTCGGTCGAAAATGACAGAACATGACGTCACTCTGACGTCATTTGTGGCCAACCTATCACAGCCTCTGGAAAATTTTTGGTCACAATGTGTAAAATTGATGCCCGGAGAGGTCCTGAAAGTTTGGTGGCGATATCTCTAGCCGTTTAGGAGATATCGACCGAAAAGTACAGGGGGGGGGGGCCGTTTCGGCCCCCCCCCCCTACGGGGCGCGGGCTATAGCTGGGCCACATAACCTTATTGTGTTGTCTCTGTTCCAGAATGATATCCCGGGTCTCTCCTATAGCTTGGCCACATTACCTTATTGTGGTGTCTCTGTTCCAGAATGATATCCCGGGTCTCCCCTATAGCTTGGCCACATTACCTTGTTGTGTTGTCTCTGTTCCAGAATGATATCCCGGGTCTCCCCTATAGCTTGGCCACATTACCTTGTTGTGTTGTCTCTGTTCCAGAATGATATCCCGGGTCTCCCCTATCCCGCGCGGGGCTGGGGGGGGGGTAAATTTTACCCACCCTCGCGAATTTTTGCAATAACTCAAAAACGGCGGCGCGCAGCGCTGCCAAACTTTCAGTACCTTTTTTACATCAATTTGACACGTTCCCTGAAAAATTTGAGCGAAATCCGTCGGAAAATTTTTGAGAAATTGACGTTTTAGTGACGTCATGTTCGCCATTTTCGCCTAAAAAACGGCAAAATTTCAAACGCCGCTAACATCTTCATTTTTAAAGGAATCAAGACGTAACAAAAAGGTTACACGTAATCCTACTTTGTCTATCAAATGGCTATCTCGGTTTTTGAAAATTTTGAATTTTGGCCAAACTTTTTTCAAAAAACTGACTTTTTTGGGAAAATAATTATAAAATCAAACATTTTGAGTGTATCGAAAAAAACCGCAATTTATGTCAGAGACGTGGTCTATGTGCACCTACATACCAATTTTTAGAAGAATCGGTTCAAAAATGTGGGAGTTATTAGAAATTTCATGACGTCACGACACACAAAAATTTTGAAAAATGAATTTTTGGGAAGTTCTAGACCTTGTACGGAAACAAAAATAGCACCATTCGATTCGCCGTGAAAAACTGCATCAGATAGACACCTTTTTAGGCCTTAACAACCAAATTCAAAATTTGACCTACTTGACCTGACCTTGACCTGACCTGGACCTAAAATTCATCCAGATGTGGTCCATATCACCTATTGAGTGTGCCCATTGAATTCTATGAATAAAATGACCCATAAAGCATGTGTCGCACATGCCCTTTTCTATATTTTGTTTTTGGTGACCTGACCTGACCTGCCCTGACCTTGACCTTGACCTCTGAATGATATTGTATGCAGCGAATATTGTCTTGGTAGCCTAAGAACACGTTTTGGGCAATCAGTCTCAGTCCATTCTTCGGCAACTACGGTGCAAGGCCGATGCTGTAGAAACTTGCAATTTGTACCCTTGACCTGACCTTGACCTTGACCTCAAGGCTCAAACTTTAAATTAAGTACATGTTTTTAGTTGTTCGTGATGAGATCTTTCGATTGGCGTTTGAATTTTCCAAATCGGACCATTAGTTCGGGAGATAACAGGGGGGGGGGGGTAAAATTTACCCACCCCCAGCCCCGCGCGTTCGGCTGGAGACCCCAGCCCCGCGCGGGAGCTGGGCCACATTACCTTATTGTGTTGTCTCTGTTCCAGGATTCTATCACAGTTAGTCTGCTGCTGAACGGAGGAAGCCAGACATTTATTGCCATTGATGTAGCCGATATCAACGACAACACCCCGACATTTGACGGCCAGGGATCGCAGATATCGCTGGACGTGCCAGAGGTTTGTATATACATGTATTATGTATAGCATATGTGATATTTTATCCAGAATGTGTTGCATGCAACTTGTTCATGTTCTATTGATATAGTATTTTCTTGTTTTTTTTTCAGTTATGCCAAAATGTATCACATCATCAGCTTTTTATCGGCTTTGTTGGTATTACATAATTTAACCAAAGGACTTAGGTCCCATATTTATTTATATCAAAGTTAAAGTTATGTTGTAACCAAGGGATCACCATGTAAGTCTTAAGTTCCGCCATTACCAATCAAAAAGCGTTATCAATTTCCACCTCGCATGGGCCTTTTTAAAACACTTTACACAATTAAAAATTGAAAACAGCCTTAGTCATTAATTTTCCAGCGCAGTAATTGTTATTTTCTTCTGTCATTGGTGCTGTAGAACCAGCTGAACGACTCGCTACTCATCCTGACGGCGACCGACGCCGACCCCGGAGCCACAGCCAACCTGACCTACACCATGAACACCGGGGTAAGTACGGCGACCGACGCCGACCCCGGTACGGCCACCCTGAACTATACCATGGATACGGGGGTAAGTACGGCGACCGACGCCGACCCCGGAGCCGCGGCCACCCTGAACTATACCATGGATACGGGGGTAAGTACGGCGACCGACGCCGACCCCGGAGCCACGGCCACCCTGACCTACACCATGAACACCGGGGTAAGTACGGCGACCGACGCCGACCCCGGAGCCACGGCCACCCTGACCTACACCATGAACACCGGGGTAAGTACGGCGACCGACGCCGACCCCGGAGCCGCGGCCACCCTGACCTACACCATGAACACCGGGGTAAGTACGGCGACCGACGCCGACCCCGGAGCCACAGCCACCCTGAACTATACCATGAACACCGGGGTAAGTACGGCGACCGACGCCGACCCCGGAGCCACAGCCACCCTGAACTATACCATGGATACGGGGGTAAGTACGGCGACCGACGCCGACCCCGGAGCCACGTATTGGTGCTTTTCCAGGCAGGTAGGCCGGAAAAACTCTTGGAGGTAGTTATGCCCCTGGAGCGTGTACAGGTCTCAAGAGCTAGTGTATGGGCCCAATAATTCGGCTGGCGGCGTGGAACTTGCATGGGGATTCGTAGAATGCGCTTGGTACCCACATTTGTTGAGTCGTGAGCCCCAATAGTCAGTTACCGGGGTTACATGAGCAAGTAAATGCGTATCAGGAACGGATTTTCCTATTCGCTCACCATTGTAGTCCGTTTGTAATGTTTATTAACCCTATTAGTGGCAGGGGGGTTGTTTTTATCCACCCCTCAGGTTTTTCGGAAATATCTCCGAAACTGCTGAAGCTACGATGCTGAAATTTTCTGACTTTTCCTAAAACTAAATTGGGCACATTCCCTGAAAATTTCAAGTTCATAACTTTACCAGGGGCGGCTCCAGAGCACTGGGAATTGGGGGGTCCTATTCGTGAAGCGAGTCATTTGGGAGAAGATCACGATGCTGCACCAGTTTTACGAACAGTGAATGAAAGGTATCATGTGACAATATATACAGTTATTGTGCATCCTCTTTTGACACGTTTTTGCTATAATAGGCGGATCCAGGCGTCCAAAAAGGGGGGTTATGTCTTACCTTCCAACATAGGTGCCCTGACACCGCCTATGCATGACCAATACAACTGTAGTCGTTCTCTCATAAGAAAATTGTAACATAACAAGACCATTACCATCCTTTTTAGAAACAGTACCAACAAAAACCTTATTTACTATACTTTTTTGTGTACCCCCAATCTCAATGATCTGTATCCGCCTATGATTTTTGAAAATGCATATTTTTAGGATCCATGTGAATTCCTGGTTCATTCTTTATCGATCGGCAAAAGCTGCGTTAAGATTGGTTCAGAAACCTGGCCGTGATAAACAGTCTAAAATGTATCTGCAATTTGCCCATTTTTACCCCCCTCTACCCCCCCTATTGACATTTTATAGTTTTTATTTTTTAGAAATGTAGATCACGTTGAGCGAAATCGAATGCCGTTTGAATTTTGAAAATCGGCCCGTTAGATCTCGAGATATCAAGGGGGGTCGTAAACAGCCCCCCCTGCCACTAATAGGGGTAGCCAGGAGCCTGCCACTAATAGGGTTAACTCTGATCATGTAACCCCGAGCAGTGTGGAGCTCTAAGAGCCGGCAGCGGTAGAGAACACACAAGTTCCGGCGTTGGGACTATCAAAGGCCTGCAAAGGGGGGCACCAGGAGTGGATAAAGTGGCTCTACAAGCCGACATGGGGCCTAAGAATCAGAATGGAATCTCATGAGCCTACATATGCCCTTAGAGGTTTTCATTAGGCCCTCAAAGGTCGTCGTGAGGGCCTTCAATCTGAAATCCTTGCGCGGAGCTCAGATGCCAGCATGGCCCCTAAAACCTGCCAGCGGTGGGGCCCTCAGAGGTCGTCGTGACTCTTGAGGTTCCTCAGAGGGCCCTCAGAGGGCATGGGCCCTTGGGGCTGCCCTTGGGGCCTTTGTTGGGCCCCAGAGGCTGTTGAGAGGGCCCTCAGAGATCGTCGCATGGCTCTCAGAGGCAAGCATGGCCCCTGGAACCTGCCTACTTTGGGGCCCTCAGGGGTCATCGTGAGCCTTTGTCGCGTGCGTTGGGTCTTAGGCCGTCGTGAGGGCCCATAGAGGTCGTCGTGAGAGCCTTCAGTGGTTGTTATGACTTATGAGGGCCCACAGGAGCCATCAAAAGTGCCATCATAGGTAGTCATAAAGGCCGTCGGCCATCGTGAGGGTCTGCATATGGACCCTCAGAGACTTTGGCAGGGCCCTCAGATGTCTTCATAAGGCCGTCAGAAGCCATCGTTAGGGCCCTCAACAGACCGTCGCAGGGTCCTCAGATGTCAGCATAGCCCCCGAAGCCTGGCTGTGATGGGGCACTCAGAGGCCGTCGTTAGGCCGTCAGAGGTCAGATGGCCCTAAGACCCGGTTTGGGTCTAGGGCCAACGTGAGGGCCCTCAGAGGTCATCAGATGCCATCAGATGCCGCCATGAGGTACCAAACGCGGTTCGGGACACTACTAGCCAGTACCCGGCGTGGGGACCCTAAAAACCATAGTAGGGCGTTTCTAGCCGTAAATGGACAATGGACATCCATGATCCCACATTAGCGCTCATTTCCTGATCACCGTTTTTAGGAGGAAATGTGTATTGGAAGCTGCACCCCCTGTACCCCCTATTCAGCCGCTCTTGCGCATCGGTGACCAGCGACGCGACTTTACAACGCCACACTATCTGCATGCATTCAGTTAACCCGCGCGTGACTGGGGGCGGGGGGCTCTACAGAGCCCCCTCCCGTTTTTCGGCAATATCTTCTAAACAGTTCGACGGATCAGCACGAAACTTGCGGTACCCTCAGCAGCGTCAATTTGACACCTTGTGTTAAACTTTCTACTTTCTATCCACCATACTTTGGCCGAAAATGACGTCAGAGTGACGTCATATCGGCCGATTTTGATGCAAAATATTGAATTACGGCAAACGCTCTAAAGAGCTTAGTTTTAAAGCTAGATCCAATTTATTGGCATCAGTGGGCTACAAATGCACGTAGCTATCACACTGGTATCTCGAATTTTCGAAATATTTCGATTTCAAAATATGTGTGATAGAATTACAATTACAAAAAATATTACAACTACAAAAAAAAAATAAAAAAAATCAAAAAGTTTTTAATTTTTCGCAAAAACCGGAATATATGTGATAGAACACACACTGATAAACAACTCTAGCAAGTTTAAGCCCAATATCCTAAAAAAGCCAAGTTATTAGCTTTATTGTCAAAATTTATAATTATATATTTTCCAAAACCATTTTCAGTACGTTTTTGACATCGTACAGCAATATAATGGGCACCATCGTGTTCCTGAGCTCACATTGCATCTGAAAGGCACATTTTTTGTTTGAAAATTTTTCAAAATTTGACCTTTTGTGACCCGAAAGTGACCTGACTTCCGGTAAATCCCGCTGAAAATGACCCCAAATGACACAGATGACATTATTTTCGAAATCTTCGAGCAAAATGGACCATTAAACATGCGCTACGTGACCGATACATGATGAACAATTTTCGTGACCTAGGATGATCTGGCCTTGATCTGAAAAAAAAAAATTGAAATAAAAGTTCGGTACCCTCTGGTATCTTAGGCATATATCATGGAGTTCGTAAACCAAAAATGACCCTGATCGAGCTAGTCAGTCGGCGGCCAGAGCCTAAATTGTCAACAAGCAAAAATACCGATAATTTTCATTTTGACCTGATCTGTGACGTCATCCGTAACCTTCAGGTCAAATAAAATCGGTTTCGCTCGACAATTTTCCAGGGCTATCAGAGCTATTTGAATTTTGACGATCGGCCCAGTAGTTTCGGAGATAGGAGGGGGGGGGGGGCTCTGGAGAGCCCCCCTCATTCACTCGTGTTATGGAAAATACCCCAGTCATGCGCGGGTTAACCCGGCAGGCGGTGGGCCTCCCAGCCACCTTCCGCGCGGTGGGGGGAGGGCATTTTTTGCCCCCCGTATCTCCGAAACTACTGGACGGATCCGGAAAATTCAAACGGCGTTCGACAGCCCTGTCAAATTTGTCGAAGGAAACCAAATTTCATTGACCTCGGGGTCACCGATGACGTCACAGGTCAGGTCAAAGATAAAATGTTTCACCGTTCACGGGGCTTCTAGGGAAAGCGCTATAACACCGAGTAAAACGCATTTTGTCGAAAATCAGCGATAAGGCGTCAGTTGTCTAGTACATATGTTGCTATTAGAGGTCACTGGTCATACCAGGTCAGGTCACAGGTCAGGTCACCAAAGGTCACCAAGGGTCACCAGTCACCACATGAGCCCAACTTTACTAAGGTTATGCGATGCATGTTTCATGGCCAGTTTTTTTTTCCAACTCAATGGTGTTGTTTATTAGACCATCAGGTACGGTTTAGGTCACTTTCTGATGGAGGTCAGGTCAAGGTCTGGTCAAAAAAGGTCAAATTTCAAAGTTGATTTTTGTTGCATACAATGGGTATCGATTCGAGGCAGCTCGTCACGGGGAGTCTAATGGTGGTCTTTGTTTTGCGCTACGAGGTCTAGAATTGCTAATAATTGAGTTTGAAAATTTGACGTCATCAATTTTGAACAGTTTTTTTCGCTATAACTTGGCCAAAAAAGAGGTATCGATCTCAAATTTGGTATGTAGATAGAAGGCGATAGGGACTATCACATATATACCGTTTCTTTTCGAAATTCAAAAAACATTTTGGATTTTTTGCCTATTATATTCAACAAATCTATTTTTTATTTTTGGGGGTCAAAATTCAAAAAATTCGAAAAACCGAAATAGCAGTTTTGTAGCCCTTTTGATTCCACACCTTTAATAGTTGTAACATTTTTATGTATCTCTAAAGCTGTAGGCCTGACAGCTCTTCCCGCGAAACCTTTTTTTTGGGTCGAAAATGGCAAAAATGACGTCACTCTGACGTCATTAGCTGCCAACCTATCATAGCCTTTGGAAAAATTTTTGGTCACCGTGTGCGCTAGCTACTCCCGGGAGGGTACTGAAAGTTTGGTGACGATCGGCGCAGCGGTTCTCGAGATATATTTAAAAAAACTAGGGGGGGGGGGCAAAAAATGCCCCCCCCCCACCGACTGGAAGGTTAAGGGAAATCGATCTATTATCAGCACACTGACCTAAATCATCGGCAGCGAGCGGTCAGCTCCTTTCTTCAGAATGGCCGTCACGGAGGGTCCTGCTTTTCGTCCAGATATGCATCGACGCCGTATTAGATTTTCTCACCTCTGCATGCCTTGGGAGGGGCAAAAAGATAGTCTTGCCCAAACGATTTAGCTTTGGGGAGGGCAAATGCCCATTTTGCGCTCCCCTGGATCCGCCACTGGGCCTCGTTTACACCATGGATACCCGGGTAAATGATGTCAAATATGATATATTTTATGTGTTGTGAAGATGTTGAAATGAATATCCAATTTTACTGTTGCCTTTTCAATGGGTACTTTTGTAAAAAAAAAAATCATAATGATTTTATTTCATGTATCAATGAACATGTCTCCCTAAAACCAACAATTTGAAACAAATATGGTGGTTATTTTGGATTAGCGAAATGGAATGGATGACAAGAAGCGAGTATACTCAATTTGTAACGTCATTAATTTACTGAGATATCATAATTGATAACATGCAAGTTCCATCAGCCTCTAGCACCTCATTGTCGTTATGGGTACCTCACGTTTGTATTGTTCTGATATTGACAGCCTGCACCACGTTTACCAGGGTTACGATGACGTGTTCAAGCTGACCTTGATCACAAAGGACAACAAGCCGGCTTGTCAGCTGAGACTTCTGAAGCAGCTGGACTACGAGACCAGACCGCTGTACAAACTCACCATCACTGTCAAGGTAATTGCATATTCTTTTTTCAGCTTTACATTAATACACAACTTAAATTCAGATACACAGCTTGGTTCCCAATTTAAAAAAAATAAACTATTTTGCTTGGCAGTAGCTGTTTTTTTTTTACTATGGGCTATTTGGCGAATGGACCAAACTTGACCTAATTTGGTGAAGCCTGATCAAGTCACTTTTTAAAATAAATACCTTAACACTCGCACCGACGGGGGTCTGTGCCAACTTCGCACCGACGCACAGTGGGGATTTTTCCGATCTAGCGCCTATTAATTCAAAAAATATTTTTTGGATTTTTGTTTATTTTTTGTGTCAGTAGGGCTAAGAAATGTCTGAATTTTTCATATATGGCATTGTTTTATCTGTATGTCCACAGCAAAACTAGGAAAAATGCGCCCAAAGTTCACACTCATGCGTGATTACTCAATGGGCTCAGCAAGGCCCGAAAGTATAGCTCAATTTCATTGTCCTGTCCTGTTGGTTTTAATCTTGCGAGGTCTTAAAGTTGCATATCGTCTGAAAGGCACCTTTATTAGGAATGGAATGGCAAACAGAAAGTATGCCACAACCTTACTAAGGTCACAAAAATGCCCTTTACAAAAAACCCTTACAGACACCATATTGGAGGAATGGTATTCTAAATAAATGTAGGAAATCAACAATGTTCTCCACACTTTTCCACTCCGAAATATATCCTATCGAATTCGCCACTTTCTTCTGCACAAGACAACGCCTAGTTTGGCTGCCGAAACTTGCCTGAACACGGAATATTCACATTAGAGTATCTTAACACCCCACTCGAGGAGCGCTAGGGCAAACAGCACGATATAGGTATGTTCCGGACATAGGCGAATAATTTTACTTCGTGATTTATATGATGCATATTTTCTGAGACACATTCATTAGGAATAGGATGACAAGCGTAAATTATACATACCGTAACCTTATTAACCATCGCACTTGTGGGGAGGGGGAGGGGGAAGGGGTCGGATAAAACCCCATGGTTTTCCGCAAATTACTCGCGCAAAAAGCGGCCGATCGCGCCGAAACTTTCGGTACCCTCGAGATCATCAATTTTACATCTAACCTAAAAATTTCATGACTCTGACCCAACTGACCTTTGACCTGTGGCATATTTCTCGAGACCATGTTTGGCCGGAATCGCGATTCGGCGTATGCCAGCTCACATTATCCGCGGTTTCCAGTCTTTTTGTGGTTTTAAACGTTCAAATATGTGAAATGATGTTGGTGCCATGCATAATGGTGGGAGTCAAGGTCACGTGAAGGTCAAGTCAAGGTCATTGGCCTTTTGATGACCTTGGTTCACTTTTTCGAGTTTTACTTGTTTCTAGGGTAGTTTTTGGTGCTGATTTCGAATTTAGCAGCCATTTGAATATTTACGAAGTAGTTCTAGTGCCTTCGTTCCATGTTACGAAGCTATCAGTAGTAGGTGACACTTCTATGGATGGCCGGCAGGACGCCTACTAACTGATCTAACGTGACCTGACCCGACCTGGCCTAAATGCATAAAGACATCGTCTGAGATCAAAACTAACATGAAATTCGTGATCAGCACCCCAAAATACCCCGTAACACCCTAACTTTGCAAATTTTCAAGAGGTCTCGATTTCCCAACTTTAGTTGGGTCATTAAACTGACTTGGAAAGTCAGCTTATGACCTTGGACTTTGAAATTGGATATATTCGGCCTAATTTCGTCATAGGCAGCACGCTTGACTTTTCCGCGAAGCTCTAGCTTGATCAGGGGCCAAACGGCTGAGCGGGGGGTCCAATTGAACCCCCTATACTATGTTGATTATGCACATTTACAGGTAAAATTCTCACCAGGACACACCAGCCAACATCTGTGCACAATCTGGCTACAATTCTACCTATGGTTTGCCCTCTACGAATAAATAGGTGCTAGATCGGAAAAATCCCCACTGTGCGACGGGGGGGCGGATGACCGCCGCCCCCCTGAGATCTCGAGAACGAAGCAAGATAGCGACAAGTGGTAAACGGCATCGGATACGCACGGTCAAGATCTACAATTTTTACTAAGGTCATTTTCAAGTCAGGTCAAAGATGACGTCACAGGGGTCGAAAAAGTCAAAATGGCGGCGCTAGATATGGAGAGTTTTTCTCGAATAACTTTCGAACTAGTCAAGATAGGAACAAACTAAGGGCATTATCGTGATCCTCTCGTCAATCCGCATCGAAGGATATATATGTTGACCTCATGGTCAAGGTCTAAGGTTGACCTCAGGTCACGTGACCTCGAGGTCATCATGTATATCATTCGATGCGTCTTGACGAGCTGAACACAATGAGACCATCCACGCGGCTGTATCTTGTTCCTGTACGGAGTTATTGGCCAAAAACCTTACAGCTGCCCAACAGCAAAACAGACCTCAAGGTAGTGAAGGTTGATCGTATATGAAGTCATGTATGGTACATGGGGCCATTCCGACCCGTTTTAGTGGTAAAAACAGGGAGTTGATGTTCCCCCATTGACTTATAATGGGGAGGTCGCGAAATTGACCTAACCTTAGGTCAACGATATCAAAATTCCGAGATATACAAATTGTAGCTACTAATGATCTAATAACATCCTGCGACTTTCAAAGGCCTCCGACATCTACTGTAGCTCTGGCACGGTGACAAAGTTGCAAAAAAGTGACTTGAGGTTGGGTCATTGAAAGTGACCTGGTGACCTGACTTTAAAAGGTAGCAAGTTCAAACTTGCACACCATGTGTAAAATTGATGAGGGAATAGTCGTACGGGGACCCGCAGTTGTTACTGTACACGAACCCCAAGTCTAACCGTCTGTCCTGTCCAGTAACAACCGATAACATTGACATCGACTGCTGGTCCCTGTACAAGAGCAGCTGAGGTTTCCTGTGAGTACCCTCTGACAGCTTATCGTTGTTCCCTGTGAGGGTGCTGGGACAATTTACTCAGGGTCGCTGTACAGTAGCAACTGCAGGTCCCTGTACCAAATTTCGCGGCGCTACGTTTTCCCGCTATTTGCGAAAAACCTCGGGGGGGGGGGCGGATATCCGCCCCCGTCGGTGCGCGTGTTAATATCATGAATTTCTTTCGATGTTTAAATAAAAATAGGGTATGATATTTTGAAAAATCAGATTTTGATCAGGCATATCAACAGACAGTGCAAACCGTGCTGAATACTTACTAAGAGCTAGGCACAGGTCACTGCTGAAGTAATGTGCGGATATAGGTACTGTAATCGGACGAAACCTAGCACCAATCATCAATGGTGAGGCCTATCATATTCAAAAGCGAGTATCGCACAGATTCGTGTTTCAGTTGGACAACTTTTTCTAACGCGTCACAGTTCCACCTGCCACAGAGTGCTCGCTATAATCGAAAACGGGAATACTCACTCCATTCGGGGCACCCCGGAGTCCAATCTCTGTGACCGCCACTGAACAGAGAGTTGTAAACCTACGCACGTGCGTACTACGCCGTAGTAAAGTGACATTGCTGGACCCTCCAGTAGGGGAGAGTGGGGAAAGATGCCCAGGGTTTGACTATGTCATATATCATTCGAAAATGACGATCGGAAAGCCAAAACTTGGAGTTTCAACGGAAGCCGACATCATTTTTCTCCAAAAATATCACACTTTCGTGCCTGAACTATGATAACTTTTTTTGCTATTAAGCATTTTCCTGAAGAAGTGAAAGGGGGCATCTTACCCCACAGGGTGGGGAAGACGCCCCCTGGCGTTGGGTAAGATGCCCCCTGCACTATAACTGACATAAATAGGCACGTGAATCGCCTGAACGAATCAGAATTCCCTGCGAGCCTGCAGTTAGACACCAAACGTCATCGTAAGGGCCCTCAAAAGTAGTCGTAAGGGGCTTCAGAGGTCATCGTTAGGGCCATCATAGTCCAGCGTGGCCAAACAAGCCTCCGTGGTGGCGTTCGGAGACCACTGTGGGGCCCTTATAGGTCTTCATGATACTTGAGGGCCCTCGAGCCCATCGTGGGGACTTCAGATGCCAGTGCGGCCCGTGGAGCCAACGTGGGAGCCCTCAAAGGATGTCGTGAGGGGCACTTGAGCCAATAATGGGGCCCACAGAGGCCGTCGTGAGGGCTCTCAGAGTCAGATGCCGCCCAAAAAGTCGCTGTGTGGGCCGAGAGACCGGCATGGGGAGCACCTGACCGTACTGGACTCTCAATAGTCCCAGATCGGCTTTTGTCTCTCATCACAAGTATGTAATAAATGATTTGACGGGCTGCTTGAAGGACAGCCTACGGATTTAGGGGGGCGTCTTTCCCCATCAGGACAGGGGGCATCTTACCCCAAGGTACCGAAGTGACATTAAATCAGCACAATTTGTTAGCCATAAAACTACACCCTGAAACAAACTGTTTGGGACACAGTACACGCATGTTAATGTATCACGACCATAGCAAGGGACGCAAAAATTATCTACCTTCTTTGATATTTACAATGTTTTGACGCCAAAATATTTTTTGAAAGCAGCAAATAAAAAACATGCAATCACCAGCCAGCCGTTGCCCAACTGAGCTTCGCAAATTTTTGTGCAGTTAACAAGGCAGGCTTCCGCTTTACGCTAAGAACATTAATTTCCCGGTTCGATTCTTTGTTTCCCCGCTAGAGGGGGTGGGGCGTCTTTCCCAACCTGGGCATCTTACCCCACTCTCCCCTAGAGTGTAACCATTGATGATCGGGACACCTGCATCGACAAATAGGGGCTCTCTCTGACAGGCGAGGAGGGGGAGGGTCTGAGGTGGGCAGGGGTTGACCGCGGGGCTACTGGCCGGCGCAGTGGGAGGGGTGGGTGGAGGTAGGGCGACAGGGACGCCAGCTGCAGGGCAACAGCGAGCTTTGAACCCAGACGTGCGGGAGCGGTATGTCTGTCTGATACCATTTTGTGAAGCAGGCGGCTTTAGAGACACAGAAAAAATGTTTCAAATATAAAGAGGGCTATAATCAAGAGGGCTA